TCATGAGCAATTCAACTCCTGCTTGTATATACTCCCTCCTCTTTCTCTTTTTCTTCCTTTTCCTTTGTAACCTATTCTGCCCAATGCTCCAAACTCCCTTACATTACCAATTTACTTACCACTTATGCTTACCACCACCACTCTTTAAATCTCCAGAGCCCTGGGCCAACCTCCATGATGCCACCCCTTTCTTCTTGCCCCCTAAGCCCACCCCATCTTCTATACTTTTGTACCTCAACAATGCCATCACCCCTCCTGATATTTTTAATGACTCCTTTCAGAACCTCTAACACTCCTGATGCCATCACTTCCCTGACATTCCCAAATCCCCTGACACTCCTTGTCATTGCCTTTCTTAGCATCTCCAGCACCTCCAACCTTCCTGACCCTTTTTTAACACTCCAACACTCTATTGCTCACCACTTTATAACCACTTCCCAGTTCCACTTTAACTCCAGTGCACAGTAGAACACTAAGAAAATATATATTGAAGGTCCCAATAAAAGAAAACAAGATAAGTAATAAGGTTCTATGGTACTTTTATAGGGAGTCTGAGCTGGATTGTCCCCACTGCTCTCCTGCTTCTGACTCATCCACCATCAAATTAACCACCTCTGAGCCACCCCACAGCACCAACACATTAATTAAACCCAGCAGAAGTGCTTGCTGCTCCTGGCCCTGACTAAATGACCAGGACACCTTCTTGCACAACTCCATCAGCACTTCTACCTAAGTCAGCAGCAGTTCAATGATATTGGATGCCCACTGCTCCAATTCTACATCCTGGAAGAACAACAAAGCCTGGTGGCCTTCTTGTAACTAGTCTAGCTGATCCAGGCCTGCTCCAACCTACTCAGGAAGGCAGTATTGTAAATGGATTTACTGGAACCCTTCTCAAACAAATAAACTCACAGACACAATCCTGTTCAGAAGAGCCCAGTGATGCTGGAACCACTTTGTCCAGGTCAGTACCCTTTTTATTAAGAAAAGAATAAGTTCCACTCACTGAGAGACTGAATGCAGAACTCCAACATGTGGATGATAAGCCACTCCCACTGCTGAGCCATCTTCATGGAGTTCTCTATGTGTTTGAGCAGTAGTTTGGCAAACTCCAGAGCATTGTTGGTGGTGTAGTAGAGGATGAATAGTGCTTGTTTGATGAATTGGCAGATAACTACAAGAATTGCATCAAAGCCTTTGTAGTTGGGAAGTTCAACAATGTGATCCATTGATATCAAGGACCAGGAGCAGTAGCCAATGGGGAGGGGCTTCAGCAGGCTATAGGAGCAATGGCAGGGTACCTTAGCCTGGAGGCATGGTTTGCAGTCCTGTACATATCACACAATGTCCTTCTTCATTTCTGGCCAAAAGTAAGTTCTAGAAATAAGTTGGAGAGCCTTACAAATTCCTGGGTATCCTCAGAGTTTATGGTCTTGGTGCTGCTAAAATATGTCAAGGCAGATGGACTTGTAGTCCAGAGTATAGATTCACTCTTTCTAGAGTAAGAGTCATTGGTCTTGAGATAGTGTGAAGAGTGGGTTGGCTATTGGCTTGCCAGCAGAGTTGTTGCAGGGGTTGTGCTGGGTGAAGAAGGGGTCTGGGGGTGCATTTCTAATTTGGTAGAGGATTCCTTTTTTATTTATAATCAGCATGGCATGCAAATGCTCAGTGGAGGAATTACTACTCAATAGTTAATGGATTTTGCTCAGCCTCAAATGACTTCTTTGAGTACATGTTGGGCCTCTAGGTAAGGGCATCAGGTTTTGTGGTAGTGGATAGTAAAGTCATACTTGGAGAGAGTTTTGGACCAGCAAGCTTGTTAGCAGCTGAGTTGCTTGGTGATGGTGAAGTATTACAAGTTGTTGTGGTCAGAGTAGACTTGGATGTGATGTGAGGCTCCTTCAAGGTAGGCTCTCCACTGCTGGAAGGCTTTGACAATGGCAAGGAGTTCTTTATTATAGCTGTCATAGTTGAGCTCTGCAGGAATTATCAAGCAAGTGTAGAAAGCAATGGAGTGGAGGTCCTTGATGCTAAGGTCTATTTAGGAGAGGATGCTAGTGATGGTGTAGTCAGTGTAGTCAGAGGCATTGCATTTGAGTATTAGCAGGAAGGGGTCAAAATGGCAGAGGATTGAAGTGGAGGTCAAGGCCCTTTTGAGGAGAGTGAAGACACTTTAGCACTTGCTCTACTAGTCCTAGGAAGTGTCCTTCTGGGTGAGTCAGTTGAGAGGCTTTGCGATCCCAGAGTAGTTGTCAATGAACTGGCAATAGAAGTTAGTGAATCCCAGAAAGGACTGTACCTTCTTGATTTTTCAGGGTGGAGGCTAGTTGAGAATGGCCTTGACCTTGGCTGGGTCCATGCATACTCCATCCAGAGTGACAATAACTCCAAGGTATTTGATCTCTGTAGTGTGGAAGGAGCATTTCTTGGGTTTGGCATGGAGGTGGTATTTCCAGAGTCATTCTAGGATACAGTGGACATGCTCTGGATGTTCCTCCAGGGAGTTTGAGTAGATCAGAATGATGTCTAGGTACACAATAATGAAGATGTTGTTCATGTTGTGGAAGATGTTGTTCATAAAGTACTGAAAGGTAGTGGGGGAGTTAGTTATTTCAAAGAGCATCACTAGGTACTCAAAAAGGCCATAGCAGGTGTGGAAGGCAATTTTTATTCATGTTCTAGAGCAATCCAGATGCTGTTGTAGCCAGAGAAGAGGTCTATTTTAGTATAGATCTTGGCACTGTAGAGGCAGTCAACAAGGTCTTTAATCAAGAGGAGAGGATACTGGTTCTTTTTTGTGACTTTGTTGAGTTCTTAGTAGTCTATGCAGAGCTGGAGAGATCCATCCCTCTTCTTGGCAAACAGAATTGGAGTGCCAGCAGTGGAGATTGAGGAGCATATAAAGCCTTGTCCAAGCATGGCATTGAGGTAGTCTTTTAGGGCCCAGAGTTTGATCTTGGACATGTTGTAGATCATGTCAAATGGAGGGGAGGTGCCTTCATTGAGATCAATTTTGTGATCGAAGTTCTTTTGTGCTTCCTTTAGAGAACACATCAGCAAATTCATAATATTCTGAGGAAACTACTTCATGTAGGATTTGTTCCTCTGTCTTTTATTCTAGCAGGGTAGTTCCTCTGTCTTGCATTGTTGGTCAGGATATTACAGCCTTTTATATTAACTCCTGGAGATGTTGGAGGGAAGCTGTCAAGGTTTGCTCAAGAAAGACTAGGGCAGAGGTGTGCTTTCCTCCTTTTCTTAGTGTTCTTGAGGGTCAAGGGAGTTTGGGTTGCTCTGGAGCTGCTGAAGCTGAGGTCAGAGATGTTAGTGTTTGAGGAGGACTGGAGGCAGAGGGGAATAGTGGCTGCAAGACTTGCTTTGGGGCCTAGGAACCACATGGAGAGATCATTCCAGTCAATGTCAGGGTTAATGTCCTATAATCAGGGAAGTTCAAGCACAATTGAAGTTGACTCTGGAATTTGAGCAATAAGGAGCCAGACCTGAAACATTAATCTGTTATTGAGGATGAGGGTGCTGTCATAGTATCAGGAGATTCTAGTCGAGGTGGGGCTTCTGTCAAAGAGTTGGAGCTCAAGAGGCTTGTCAAGAGTTGTTGCAGGAGAGGTTGAGCTGGTTGCTGACAAAGGTGCTGGAGGCTCTGTTGACAAGGGCAGGGAGGACTGTTAAAGAGTCATTGAGTCAAATCTTGATAATGTACAATTATGCAGACTTTGAACAGAGCTGTGGAGGGGTCCAGAGAATATTAGTAGTGTCTCTGGGGCTCTCAGAATGGGGTGAGATATTGAAAGGTACTGGTTTGGAGTCAGTTGGGCTATTCCAGTTGAGGGGGAGAGTGAGATTGGGCCAGTCAATGTGGGAGTTGATAGAGCAGAGCCATGAAAAGCCTAAAATGACAGAAGCAGAGATGTGTAGTTTGGTGACTAGTAGCCAGAGGCATGTCATTGTCCATTGGTGAAGATCACAGTTGTTTCTACACAGTGTGTGATGTCTCTGGTGGAGGTGGGGTTGCCATCAAAGAGTTTGAGAAGGATGAGGGTGGAAAGGTGCCAGAGGTGTTGAGAAGCAAATGCTGCCAGGAATTTGTCAATGAAGTTGTTAGTGGCACTACTATCAACTAGAGTAGGGAAAGGGCTGATGGAGAATAGGATGTGAGTTTGATGGAACCTGCAGGAAGTGATGGTCAAGTGCCATTGGATGCTCTAGGTTGCTAGTTGGTGTTGCCAGAGGTGTTCCAGTTAATTTGAGGTGCTGCATTTTTGCTCTGATCTTTCTAATAGCATTGATCAACCTGTATAATGAGTGCCTTATAACCATTGTACATAGTTTGTTTGGGTGCAAAGTGGAGGACATCTTTGATGCATTGAGGTAGTGTGTGGAAGAGGGCAAACTAGAGGGCATTGTAGTTCCAGCCAGTCTTGTAGGCTTCTTGTTCAAATTGGATGATGAAGGTTGTGAAACATTTGTTGTTGTGCATCTAAAGGTTGAAGAGATTTTTCTCTGCTTCCACTATAGTGTCAAATATGCTAAACTTACTGGGAAATTCTTGGGTGAAAGCAAGCCAGTTGGAGAGCATGGGGTTATTGGGATCAAACCAGAGCAGTGCCATGTAATGGTTGAAAGCAATGCCCTGTAGATATCAGGTGGCAAAGGCCACCCATGAGCTCTCAAGTTAGAAGGTGATAGAGAATGCTCCTTAATCTTAAACTCCCATCATCCTTTCCAGGGTCCTAGTTGTTCTAAGATTTTAGATAGTGTATTCTACTTTTTCTAGTGCCTACAGGCCCTCAAAGCCTGCTGACACCCTCTCTAAGCTTGCTTCTCTTCTTCAATCTTATATCTTGGGCCCACTACATGTTAGATGATGACAGGTCAAGTCATCTGACAGCTTAGAGCTCTGATTTCTATACCAATTATCACAGTAGTAGAATCATCTCATGCTTGGAAGGTACTTATATGTAACTTCCTAGCTCTTTGTGTAACTAGACTGTGTAGCTCAATGGTTAGAGCATTATATGGAGTACATATCCAAGAGGTCCCAGGTTCAATTCCTGATATGGTCACTTTTCATTTCTAACACTACAATGCTGCCACCATCCAGAACATTATCCAGCCCCCCTCCCAAGCAGTTCCAGCACACAGGGGATACTGAAAAACTTACAACCAGTTCTGACTTCAAGACTATTTTGGCATCCAACTCTGGCCCAGTCAAATTGCTCTCTGAGGCATGCAAGTGGCTCAGAATCCATGGGTAGATCCTTGCTGCCAAACTCTATGACTGCATTAAACTAACTAGCATCCACCACAGCACTCACATCAAACCAGGCCAAACTGAAGAGCACTATATTGGCAGTCACATTTCTAATGGAGGCTGATGTATACAATCAAGTCTTGAATGTGCTTGCCAACATAGTTGCTGCTAAAGCTCTGGGTAAGCTCAATAGCATGGTGGGAAAACTCAGCTCCATAGCTGAGTTTCTCAATGCCAATAATGCACAGAGGGCTGAGACCACTCTCGCCATCAAATACATGTCTAAAATGCTAGCTAAAGTCACTTCTTTGCTGGATACTATGGCATCCAAACTTGCAAAATCCCCAGCCCAGCCTGATTCCACTTCAATATGGATGACAATTGCCAGAGCATCTATGGATGTACCAGCCTCCTTGCCTGTTGGTTTAGCCTCTAGTACCTCCTCACCCAGCCTCCTCTTAGCCAACAATCAAACTCAAGTCCAGCAGTGAGTTTTTATGAATGCTTGGACAATACTTGTTCAGACCAACCACCAAGGCAACAATGCTCCCAAAGACAGAACAACCACAGACATGTCCAAGCTCCAAGATATCCTCAATAAAACCTTGAAATCTCTTGATAAGCAGGCCATGACACTCAGTCCAAGAGATCAATATTATATCTTCTAAAACACATGCAATTGGGCTCAAAACCATTAGCAGTAGTGCATTCCTTGTTGAGTTTGATACTGCTAATTCTGCCAATAGGTTCCATGAATATGCAATCATGCACTGGAAACTTCTTAATAACCTTTTTGGGAATTTCTCCAAGGTTGTTGACAAGGCTTATAATCTGATCACAAAATTTGTCCTCTGTAGCAGCAGCTTCAATCTAGATGACTACAATGACAAATGCATTATTGAACTCAAAAATGGCCTATTCTCAAACTTGATTCCCTCTGTCCATTGGCTCAAGAACTCTAAGCATAGGTTCCAAACACAAACCATGGCATTCTTGAAGATCACCTGCAACAACCCCAATGTTGCTAATGGCATGATCAGGGGCTGTATTTTCATTGCCAAGTGGCAAGTGACCATCTGCAAGGATATTCATAAGCTGATCTGCTGTGATAATTGCCAGAAATACAGTGATGTGCTATGCCACCTAGTGCCATGCAAGAAACCTAAAAAGAGGACCTAATACTAGTCACTAGATAGAGTAGCTAGCAGTAGGAAGTCAATAATGAGGGCAAGTCAGTAACTGTCCCAGAGAACAAAAAGCTAAAGGACTTGGGTGTGAACATGAAATAGAAGTAGTTGCTAACACTAGTCTAAATCACTAGACAGTAATGAAGAGTCGCTAGATAAACAAAGGAGAAAAAGATGAAAACAAAAGTGGTTGCTAAAGACTAACAAACTAAGCAGTGAAAAGTGAGTTGGAAAGAGAAACAGGGAAGTGATAATAAAGAGAGACTAAAAGGAGGATGAATGTAAACTAGTCACTAGCTGTAGTTACTAGCATTGCTAAGTCAAAATAATGTTAGAATTGCTTATTGCATTCTACTATGGATGATCAGCATTCACTCCAAGTTCATTTATCACATGTGTAGTCCACTTCTTTCATTTCTATTTAGTTTATCACATGTGATTATCTTTCTATTCAATTCAATCACATATATCTTCCATGTGATTATCTCTCTATTCAATTCAATCACATGTATCTTCTATGTAATTCCCTTTCTATTCAGTTCAATCACATGGAATCACATGATTCTCCATGTGATTCCTTCTATTCAGTTACATTACAGTATATATAGATAATGTAGAAGCCTGAAGTCCCCACTCAGTTTCTGACTCTGAACTTCAGGTTAGTGTTCACACTTCAATACACTCAGTTTCTGACTCTGGACTTCAGCTTTAGTGACTATTCAGTCTCCTGTACTTTGCCTGTCATTAACAAGATTGAGCCAGCAATTGGTGGAGGGGAAGTTGAAGGTAGGCAAGAGGTCAAGGAAGAAGCAATAAAGGTGGAGAAGGCTGGGGAGAGCAAGGAGGAAGTTGTTCAATGATGAGTAAGTGTTTTTGTTTGCTATGTTTCTTTTGCTAACAATTTCATTAGTGGACCTGAAGCAGCATACTACTGCAACAGGTTGGCAATGACAAATTAGAGTGGCTAGAGGAAGACCTAGTCTTGCTAACACTGCTAATCTCAGCAACGTTGCTTTGAGAATATAATGAGAGGGCAGTGAGAGTGGAGAGGCACTTCAGGAGGGAGATGGAGAGAGTGAGGGAAGCTATTGAAGGCAAGGGTGAGGTTTGCTGTTGCCAAGAGGTGGCTGGCAACTCTAGTAGGATATTAGAGGGAAATGTTAGGCATTCTTGGCCTGACAGGAGGCAAACAGAGTTGGCAAAGAGAACTGAGAGGAGGAGGAGATGGAGGAGCTTCCTAGCAACAATGCCAACTTTAATGCCTAGTGACTACACTCCCTGTATATAGACTATTTATTAGATTGTATTATGGACATAGACTAGCCCCCTTAAGGGGCTTCAAGCTTAGCAGATTGTCTAGGCATTTGAAAGTGTGTGTGAGGGAGGTTTGGGGGTCTGGAAATGGATTGTGACACATCTCCAACTTGTTAAAGCTCTCCTTTGCTCCATCATCCAAAATTTTACAGTATTGGTCTGTGTTCTGCTCTGCATTCATGATTCCCACCACCTCTACTAGCTTTCCTACCCCATTTCAACCCATACAGCTCCATACCATGAAATTATTCCCTCCTCTATGTTTTACAATAGATATAGTAGTTTGGTTTGAAATACCTTCTCCTCATAGCTTCCACACATACTGCTTTCCATCTGACCCAATGCTATTAATCTTTGTCTCTTTACCAATCCTCCCAATAGTAGACTTCCCTAGACCAGTTTGAGCAATCTAATGTAGAGAATACTTGAGCAAGAAGAGAAGCAACAGTAAAGCATTGTGTAGGAAAAGTAGCTTTTATGATAGTGGTTGAAGGTCAAGATGTGGTTCAACCAACTTGAACCACTCCAAAATATAACCAAACATAGTCACATGACTCTGTTGATATTCCCACATGCAACTTAGTCTTTATTTCTGACTAAATAGGGATAAACCTGAAAAATTAGAGATGCTCAAAAAACTGTTCTAATGAGTGAATATTTGAAACTGGCCATTACTCCATCAGTTTTCATTTGAATTACATAAATTGAAATGCAATTTGTAGCTATGATGCCATAGTATTTTACATAATTTAACCAGAATTATAAATACTTCCAATCCTTCATGCCAATGTCATCTTTCAAAAAGTATAAAACATTGGGACAGTGAGCCACTGTATATTTCATCATGCAAGTCAACTTTAATGGTTTGTGACTGTTAAAATGCTTAACAATTGAAGTTGTAGGCATACAAATATACCACCTACTACTCCTTAAAGCCAAAGGCAACAAGCTAGAATTCAAAGGAGACTTGATCAGTTACAAATAACAGATTCTGATGATTAGAATCAATAGATTTTTGGAACAGATCCATACTGTGGTTGTCCCACCACTTCAATTGGGGCCTGGAGTATGAGAACTAAGGGTATCAATCAATCTATGGGATCTGGGGGTTTGAGACCTATAGCCACTGCTTCTGGCTCTTCAGGAAGAACCTATTAAGCAGCTAGCTGCTGCTGATGATTTATTTTCTATGGTCATTCCAGAAACAGTTTTGCCTGAAAGGTGGGATGCTCTTTTGCAAAATCTCATACCTAGAATGATGTAACCTCTACCTGCTCCTATACAGAAAAGCAATAGACTCAATCAGTCTGCTGTTGCTCAAGTTGCTATGGTCATTCCAGAAACAGTTTTACTAGAAGGTTGGGATGCTCCTTTGCAGAATCCCTTACTTAGAATAGTGCCATCTTTGCCTGCTCCTGTACATAGAAGAGTTAGAAATGCTCCCTTACCAGAGCTTATAATGGTACCAGCTCCACTTGCTCTTCAAGTACTGTTAAAAGAGCTGAGACAGAGGCAACAAGAGCAGGTACTGGCAATCAGAGCAACAAAGGCTAAGACATATTTGCTATGGTATAGAGCAGGAGAGGCAACAACAAGAGGCACTAGCAGTGTTGCAAGAGCAACAGAGGCTATAACTTGATCAGGAAAGGCAACAGATACTGGATTGACTGCTTACATGGCTTTATGTACCAAGTTCAACTTCCTTTGCCCCTACTTTACCAAGTGTCCTCTGCTTCACAACTACTACCCCCTTTCCTCAAGTTCCAGCCTCTATAGCCATTTGCAACATTTGTTCATGAGAATAGCAATACCTCAGCCCCATGACTAGCAACTGGCAATGATATTTGACCTCTATATGATGATGGCACTACAACTTATAGTGACATACCCCATAGCATCAAGGCCATTGCTAGTGACACATGCATACTCATAGTTCAGAAATGGCTTAACAACCTTGTTAGACCTGAAGGCCTTAGTGATGCTACCTATGCTACCTTCATTTAATATGCATCCATGCTCTTTATTGTTGGTGGAAAGCTTTGGCAACAAAATAGAGATGGTGCCCACAAATTCTTCATTTCTACTAACCACTACTTATTGTGTTTTAAAAGCCATGCATGACAATTTGGGATATAGAGGTCTTTTTGCTACTTGCTCAGCATTGCTAAAACACTTTTGGTGGCCCAAAGTTAATACCAATCTGGTCTGGTATATTCACACTTGCCATATCTGCCAGATTTATCAAACTACAAAAGTATCTTGCTGACTGTTGCTATGCCTGCACTCTTGTTTAGCAAGATATATATTGAAT